GCTTCCAAGTTTTAACCCACATTTTCCTCAGCACCTCATTTTCCTTACCTGAACTACCCTGAGATATACAGCCTGTTGCATGTGAAGATATCTGCATAGGCTAATTTCACTGAAAAGGCAACATTATGATTGAAATTCCACACTAACCTAATCTTCTTCTCCATATGACTTGTATGAATTTTCAGCAGACTCAACATCGGTCGACAGTTTGAACAATTAACTCTTTATCCCACACTCTCTTCTCTGGTTTAATCAAGTCACTCATTGTTCGGTACCTATCTTTATCACTCATAAACTGACAAGATAGTTTAAAAAAAGTCTTATTAAGGATCCAAGGGGAATCTAAAATGTGAATTGAAGCCTCATCTCCTACATGAAATCTAACTTCCCTCTTTAAGAATCTCTAGCACCTAACCAACTTTACCATAGCCAAGAGTCACTACTCATTTTCCTAATCTCACGAGTTTGACTTGTAAAAATATTTACACTTTAAGACTATATTTATCCACAACCCAACTCAATAATAAAAAATTATTTCTTTTTCTTCCACCTACACAACCCAACTTATAACAACCTACCTATCTTTATTCCCAACCCAACTCAACTCAATCCCACATAATATTTATTTTACTTTTACTAGTGTGTATCCCGTGCGATGCACGGTCGAGCTTTTTACTTAAACCTTTTTATAAACTTTTTATATTGAACATAATTATTTATTTTTAACATCTTATTATTGTAAGAAAAGAAATATAAACTATGAAAAATTATATCTTATTTATTTGAATATAATGAATGTCCACAATCAAACCAATAACATTCAACACATGATATATGATAAAACTAATTATATGATCGTCTTGCTTTTTGAGTATATGTATTTAATAAGTACGAGATATTCAAGATTAGCATTAGAATTTATAATTTGGATATAAGATGAAAAATGGATATGTACAAAAAAAAATGTACCAAGAACCCACATAATATTATATTCTTTTTAAACGTTAAAATATTTTGTAGTTAAATAAATATGAACAAAAAAATGATCAATTAAGTTAAAGTATCTGAAAATATAAAATAATTTATGAATTTACATTGTTTATTAAATAAACAAATTTTGAGTTGTGACTATTAAATCCAACAATAACTCGCCTAACAAAATTAAATTCTTTGACCTAAAAGTGTTATTTGAGTTTATGACATTCATTATGTTTCAAATGCTTTTTATTCTAACAAATTTGAATTTTTAAAAAATGTAAAAGAAGATAACGAATATTACTGATTTGGTCCGATTTTCAACTATAGTTAGTCTACTGTTGACTATTAAAATAGATCCAATAAAATCGAACACCAAAATTCCAAGCACTAAAGAAACTCAGCCAATCGAAACACCAGCGCGCATGTTAGCTATCACCGCCCTTCAGTCAAGCCTCGGTGCTACACACAAAGACCATGAATTTTCATGGCCACCATCCATGTCCCTCCTCCGCCGCTTAACCTGCGCCACCCCTCTCCACTGACACATACTCCATTAATGCTCCTGCACCTCTGCCACATTTACTCATTACATAGTATTTTCTTTACGTATCTCTACACTCGATCCGTGAAACACAAGTACAACCCACACTACACCAGCAGCAGATTTCTCACAGTAATTTTCTCCCCCTAAGTTTTTCTCCAACTTTACTGAAAATCCCATGCGATATTTTCGGTGTTCGCGTTCGGCTGATCTTGGATCGGGTGAGTTATCCTGCTGAAATCCTGAGATCGGAGCTCGATTCCAGTCCCGCCAGAGGATGAATCCGCTCTGCTGCATTGCTCCGGTGACGTCCGAGAACGATCGAGCTGTGGTGAAGCCACATGCGCGGGGCCAGGAGCTCGTATCCGAGAGCGACTGCTTCAGTTCGGCTGAGGTCAATGGCAGCCAAAATGCGATTTTAACATGGTTGATCAGTCAGCGCGGCTCGATGGACTCAAATTCCCCTTTTCCATTCTCAACCCACCATGGCATCCACAGTAATAGTTCTTTTCTAATTGAGCTGATGACAACCAGATAACATGACTGCATGGGATCACTCCAAAATGGGACTTATCAGGAACCAGACACCAGATATATAATATATTGAAGACAAAGGTCAAAAGATAAAACAATCAGCAAGTAATTTTAATGAGTCCAATTATTAGGTGTAAAGTTGTCTGGGCTTTGGAATCCTAGAAAATATAGAAGTATAAACGAAAGTTACAAAATGAGTGCAACATAACAAACAAATGAAATGACGAATAAATTTCAGATCATATGTTCCACATATTTGAATATAACAAACTTGTTCATGTACCAACTTGTTTGATCATGGAACATATGGACCATATTCAATATATTTTAATTTATGTTGTTCATGTACCAACTTGTTCCCAAACGCCATCAAATAAGGAAAATCACAATCTACATTGCGAAGAAGACACCAACAATCATCCAGTCACAACCATCCAGTCGAGAGTCACTAACCCATAAACAACAACAATAAAACGGTTGCCAGAATAAAGACATACGACCAATACATCGTTTTTTTACTCGTTCGAGAATCAAAATATAACATTTAGATTTATGATAAATTAATAGAGAAAAGCAGAATAATTTTAGTCACCTTCATTTCATTGTAAGTTGCATAATACTGGGGAAATTTATGCAGCTTCTTGCCAAGAATCAATCAAAACCAGAATCTTCTCCCTCACATTCAAATCGGGCTGCAAATTCATCATCGCTTATATAAACTTGATGAAAATATGAGCAAGGAAAACGATGGAGAAAACATCAGCAAAAGCCCAAAAAAAAAAAAATGTCACAATACCTTCTTCTTCACAATTTTGACCATATCATGTAATGTGTCCCTCTCTGCAATCTGCCGAAACACATTTTCCCCACAATTTTTTCTAAGAGTCTCCAGCACCTGAATCATTAATTATCAGGAAAATAGTCTTACACGTACACAAGTGCACACTATTCAGAAGTCTGAAAAGTAAGATTAACTCTATTAATCAATCAATCTAGACACTTTTTAGGGGGGAAATAGTAATAAAAATAGTAATAATAATTATAATAACATTAGGCGCACAAACTTACAAATAAAGGAGCTGTATTTGAGGACTTTTGTTCCCCAATTTTTCTTCAATATATTCAATGCATCCTTTGCTTGCAGCTGCCCCATTGGCCATATTTTGGTTATTTCTATTCACACAATCGTTTGAATTCCTAAAACAAACATATCAAACTATGTCATCAGCTCTGGTAACATGCGTTTACCAAGAAACAGATTGCACGCAATTTGTTTTTGTAGATAAGGAATCAAAATCAACTGCCGATGAAACTGAAAACAGACAAATTCAACGCACCAGACGCATACATTTCAATAGCATCACTTTCAAATCATGAAGCGTCAGCTCACATATATATTAGAAATGCACGACAAACAGAAAACTCAAGAACAACATGAATTAGAATTCAACGAACTCAATTAAAAGGGAAGAGTCGGAAGACTCTAAATTAAAAGGGGAAACTTTACTATCTAATGAACATTTAGAATTAATACAGATAACTACACCAAGATATCTAAATCATGGATTCGAACACACAAAAACAAACCACAAATCATCCCCTCACCATAAGGTAATTGAAACAGGAATTGCAAAAACCCCCCTCAAAGATCACAATTTTATTCAAAAAATCAAAAAATAAAAGCAAATAAGACGGACAACAGTTTGAATTCAAACATAATAAAAATCAAAACTTACGAAATCAAGGTGATCGGCCGACCCCAGAAGATTAAAAAAGCTATATAGAGGGAAAAGAAAAAGAAAATTGTACAAGATCCAAGATTACCTGCCAAAACCCTCCAAGTCCCGTCGAGCCCAGAAGACGAATAGCTCAGGCTTTAGATAGAAGAAAACGAAAATGAATGCGGATGTAAAAATCAACCAAATTCCTTTATAAAAAAAAAAAAAGAAAAGAAACGGAAGTTAGGGGTATAATACTAATCAGATAAGATATCACTAATTAAATTTGAATAATTTTCTTCCTAAAAAGGAGTGAAATGATTAAGGTATATAATACTATCCCATCCTAAATATAAGGAATTAGATGATTACAAAATCCCAATATATGCGGTACCCTAAAATAACTCACAACAATTGACTGAAAATGTATCTTAAGCGGGAAAAAGAAGCGGGAAAACCGAATTATTTTTTTTGGAGTTTTTCAAACGTTTTTCAAACATTAAACCTTAACCTTTTTTTATAGTAATAGATTACCTTGGTACAAAAAAATTATATATATGAGTTATTACTTGTTTCTTTACCATGATATTGGCCCACGTGTTTATTCCCAACTTGACTTGACCTACAACAATCAGAGAAATTCGCTGATATGTTTAAGTATATAACTTTTTGATTTAATATAAAATAAATTTAATTTATGATAAAGTAAAATTAATACATGTCTAATCAAATATAGTATAAACTAAAATATTTCTTTATTAGTGTAAATTTAGCATTATCGAAAAATTAAGAACGGACTGGAGCATACACGACTTTTAGATGGCTCCGCCCCTACTTTCATGTCTAACCACGTTTCATATTATTCTTTTCTTTTAATTTTTTTTTTTTTTTAATAAAACGGAGCTCCAATTTTTGTGGATCAAATATTCAACAACAAATTTAATTGTCCACATATCTTTAGTCCACTGACCTCCGAATAGCAAGCACTCTCCCCTTCAAATAATAATCAGCCAATCCAACTAAACCGTTACAAGACACTTGTGTGCGTGACACGTATGCACTAAAGCAACAACCGAAACAACATTTCACTTGCAGCAGACACGTGTCAAGAAATGAGCTGGCTTGATATGTCTATAAATAACTTTGCCACCCGATCACTTCAAGTCACACAAGAATTCACATACACGTCGTTCATTATTACTTTCTCATTAAAGCATAAAAAGCAGAAAATGGACAACTCCAACAGCATGAGCTACCAAGCTGGCCAGGCCAAGGGCCAAACTCAGGTTTCATTTTAATTTTCTTTTGTTTTTAGACACGTCGAACAATACGATAAAATAATGAAATGTCAACGAAAATATATTCATTCCAACATAATGAATATTACGATTCTACTACTCGTTTGAATTTTTCAGCTGATTCTAATTGAAATTTCTATGCAAATATATAGTTCTTTGGAATGAGTTCTTTACCAATAGAGTTTTTGTTACTTTTAACGATTCCAACGAGTTGAAATATGACCAAAAAACAATTCCAATGAACATTGCGTATTCAACGAAAGTTTCTGCACACATTAATTTTGTATAATTCTAAATAAATATGTAGGAAAAGGGCAACCAGATGATGGAGAAGGCTAGCAACGCTGCACAATCAGCTAAAGAATCAATTCAACAGGTAAAATTAAAGAAATTTACGTGTTTATATAACATACATAACATATATATATATATATATATAGTTCAAAAATTATATTCATAAATTAAATAATCTTGATTAGTTATGTATATATATATATCATATTAATGTAATAGAATTGTTTGACATATTTGGATTGTTTTTGTATAGGTAGGGCAGCAGGCGCAGGCCACGGCACAAGGTGCAGTCGATGCTGTGAAGAATGCAACTGGAATGAACAAATGATGGTTTTAATTATATAACAACTTTGATTATGATAGGCATTTTAATTTATACTATTAGTTATGATGGTTTTAATTCACAGCTTTTATTATGATAGGCATTTCAATTTATTAGTTATTTTTTTTTGGTTTTTTAATTGGGTTAGTTTTCTGAGTTGCTGAGAATGCTGGGCTTCGAACTTGGTTTAGATTTAGTTTGGTGATTTTTTTTTTTTTTTTTTTT